GTGGATAGGAATGTGAGTATGGAACATCCGAGGCGTGAGACCCGGGGCCGCACATACGGTGCCGGTTATTATAAATTACTTCATGAGGGTAAATTATAATATATGCATTGCATGTCAACGTCGCTAATGATAGATGTAGAGTTGAAAGCCATGAACTAATCAACCAAACAAGTACACTTCTATCTTTTCATTCTTTTCTACCTTTACCTTATATCAAGCCATTTTGTTGTATATTTATACTTGACTATTCCACAGATTGTGTATACTGGTATGTATAGTGGAGATGATGGAGATGCCGGACCCAGGCAGGGAACCCCTACTGAGCCCCGGTGTTATTACCCTGAAGGAGGACAGGAGTCTTCTTCTGACCGAGGTCAACTGGCACCTCATCCGGGTACAGAGACTTGCCCCCTACGAGGAGTTAGCGCTGAAGCTTACCTCCACTCTGAAAACACTAGAGAAGATTATGAGCAAGGGACCGCGGAGTCAAGAATCCCAGAATCGCCCCCTGGAAAGGAAATTCATCCGTGCTCTAGAAGAAGGACTTCTTGCTCAAGTGAGGGGGGCACAAGGTGTTCTCCACAAGGTCAGAAACGATATTGTCGACCTACTTGAAAACATTGAACTCTATCAAGGGTGTCATTCCGGACGAGTAACCCGGGCTGTGTTTTCGTTCATGGGATTGATCATGCACGACATGTTCGGTGTCATGGATGAAAATGGGGAACGGTTAGTGCGGAATTTGGACGCTAGTGTTAAGGAGGTCATCCACCTCCAGAAATCCCAGGCCAGTATAGTAGCAGGACTACTTACCTCTTTCCAAGCCACCTCCGCGAGGGTTGGCGAGATTGAATCTAAAGTCAGTGAATTGAGTGTGTTAGTAGAGAGAGAGTTCGAGGAATTGCACCATTTCTTACTATTGAGTAACAGTTTGAATTTACTAGAAGGTAGAATAACCGAATTATTGTGGGAAGTCGATACCTTAGGTAGAATAGTGGGGGAAGCAATTAAAGGTAGAGTTTCCCGGCAACTCGTCACTGACGATGTCGTGGAAGAAATAAGAGGTAAGACCCACTTTGCCAGTGGCAATCTACCGGCCTTCATGGAGGTAAATCAGTTGTACAGGTGCAACGATGTTATTGTCTTTAAGGTTTTGGTACACATTCCTACACATCACAGATGGATTCTATATACACCCTATCCTACACCCATACCAGTGGATGGGCATTTCTTCCTAATAAACACTCCACAACACTTCGCTGTTCCAATGAGGAACACAAGCGCTGTAATTGAGTTTGAGCCAGGACAACTCGAAGGTTGTCGACGCACTATTAAGGAGTATATTTGCCAGGCAATTAATTTAGTGATTCATAGTCCGGATGAGAGTTGTATTTTGAACTTGATAAGTCGCGATAGCGTCAGGGTTAATTTAATCCCAAGTCAGTGTAGTATTTCAGTAACTAAGAGTTACAAGCCATTTTTCCACTTTATGCCTAGTTCAGAGAAGATTATTTACTCCATCATTACTAATACTTCCGCTACACTAACCTGTGGAGACAAATCTTCTTCTCATAGAGTAAATGGTACAGGAGTATTATCCATACCAGCGTCATGCACCCTTCGAGTAGATGATGTTTCTTTGAAATCACCACGAGTCATTTCATATCCCGATGACGTCCTAGACATCAAACAGGTAGACATGGGTGAAGTACAATACACTTTGTCACAGGCATTAAAATCACCTATGTCACACTTTGGTATTACCACAAGTCTACAGGAGTTCAAGCTTCATAATAAGTCAGGGTTAATTGATAATTTACAGAGTATTTTGATCAGGAATCAAAGTAGATTAATGGAGGCCCAGGAGGTACTCCAGTCAAACATGAATAGATACGGTGATCTCTTTAGTCGGGTGAGTGATCACGGTATAAGAGATGTATCTTGGCTAGCGTCAATTTCATCTGTTGTGGCCATATTGGCAGTAGTTATCCCTGTAGCCTTGTGTGTAAAGGTTAAGTATTGCTCCCATGGTCACTACTCCCATGATTTGTCTAAGGACCACTGTGTTACTGAACGGGACGTTCAGAGATTTAGCCGGGGGAGTGTCATGGGGAGTCAAGTAATCGAGAGTAATGTATAACGATTACTCATGTATATTGTAAATTACTCATAGCGTATTCATGTATACTCATTCAATATGATATGTATTCTTATATTTGTGCAATAGTACGTATAGTATATATATGTCATGTATAGCTTTCCATGTATCTTTTATAGTCACATACTCATCATGATTGAGTATGTATTCACCGCAGAGGTGAGTACTGGGGCATATGCCCAGGAGCCTGTCTCGAGGCTAGGGGAATTGCTGACTGCAGCAGTTTTCCCATATATAAGCTGGAGCGCGCCGGCGCTCAGGAGGTTAGTTCACATTAAGTCAATTAGTGTGTATGTATTTTTGTAAGGGTAAGCCCTATATATCCATATAACTCTATATTAT